ACATGTTTTACAATTTAAGGCTTTTAATATAGGGATTATTATGTATAAATTAATATAAGCATTATTTACATAAATCTGTTTTATCTTAATTAATCCTATCTTAAATTAGAAATATTTAATATACCTATTGTTAGTAAAATAACCAACTAGTAGGAATAAATCAATTTTGAATTTAAGTAAATTTATACTTAAAAGTTATCACTTATTTATGCTTAAATTCATCTATTTTATATATAATATATGGCATACTAATTAGAGTGAATTAACCTATTATGAAATTTGAAGATAAGAAAGGGCATCTTAAAGTCTTGTTTATTTTTTAATTTTAAAGCAAGTTTTATCTATTCTTTATAAAATAGACAAAAACATTGTTTTAAAATGTTAATAAGTTGCTATATCAACTAAATCATGTTAGATGATAATAAGATACTAATCTTGCCTTTAAATGTTATAGTAAGTCTTTTCACTGTTATTTTAAAAATAAATTAAAATGAATAAGCTATGTAGCATGATTTTAAGATGGAGACAAYGCAGCGGGAGTAATATTTTGCTATACTCCTAAATAAAGCATATTTATTTATTTATTAATTGATATAGATGCCTTTGTAGGCTCAAGTACAATTTAGTGATAAGTTTAATAATACAAAGTTATGAACATAATATTAATGTTAATAAGTACAATTTTAAATGATAAAAATAAAATAACAACAGATTAATTTAAACAATASCATTATTTAAGGGAAGATATTTACAACATATTAAGAAGACCAAGCTTACAACTATAAATTTCGAGTAAGAAATAGGTCCACATTTCTCAGCTCATTACATTCTCAAGCAATGCGATCCAGCGGATTATTATATCCATATAAGGTACGATGAAATGGTATTGAAAATGTAGAATGATGCCCTGAATTATATTGGGGAACATTAAAATTTAAAGAATGTAATAGATTCGGACACGATATATCACCATTTATTGATTTGGACATATAACAAATATCTATAGAATTACGTCTCAAAGCAAGAGATTCTAAATTAATACTGGCTTGGATTGACGACAGAGACATTGAGACTGATGGGTTTACGTGACAATGCAATTTTCTCTTATACCCAATTAACGTAAAAAAAATTTTTGGACCTACTCAAGCAATTCAACCGGTCCAATTTGTGTAGGATTCCAAAGAACAGAGAAGAATTTAAGAATTGGTCTAACTAATGAGGTGTATAAAGTTTTAAGACAAATTTTGATGTTAAATTCTCTTTCGTATTACAAAATTATAAAACCAAGACTTCTAAGTGCTTTTGAGCATAAATATTCAATATTATAATAAAATAATAAGTTAGGCTGGAATACCACCCCTAGATCATTACATGAATCAATTACTATGAGTTTGTCACCATTAATATGTTAGGAAAAGTTTTTATTTGGACTTAGTAAGGAAAAAAGACATTTTGAAACATTTGGTTGTATTTAACTTAAGACCATTAGAACGGCACCAATCACTGACTTTGTTTAGATCATTTTGGATTAAATTAGTCATCAAATGAGGAAACATTGATATACACTGACATATGGCAGATACTTAAATTACATATGGCTTTAAATGCAATATAATAATTAATAATGTATATTTGGCCAGCCTATACTCAATGTTTCAAATTGTTGTAAAGGCTGTGCATAGCTAGCATATAAGTTTATATTATTACACAATAAAATTTTACTTTAAAATAAAAATGCCTTAAATTGATAATAACTTCATGAGTGATGTGTTAAAAAATTAAAAATTTCAGGACATGATGAAGAATTAACTTATGCTTCTTCTCATCATTCCCAGAAGTTGGTTGTCACTGCTTCTAGAGACACTACATTTAGGTTGTGGGATTTTCGTGAAGCTATAAACTCAGTTTCAGTTTTTCAAGGTCATACTGAGTGAGTATTAACATTTTTATGTAATTACACTTTGGTAATAATTATATTKGGACAATGTTACAGTACAGTTACTTGTGCGGTTTTCACATCTGCTGGACTTGGCGGAGAAGATAAATTAGTATCTGGGTCAGATGATCGGTCTATAAAAGTTTGGGAGCTACGTAATATGCGCTCTCCAATTACTACCATCAGAGCTGAATCTGGTGTAAATCGTTTTGCTATTGCTTCTAATGGTGTTATMGCTATTCCTCATGATAATCGACAAGTTATGTTGTATGATATGACTGGACAACGAGTTAACAGAATACCCAGAACAGCTAGAAATGTAAAACTATTAATTCAGTATTTAACAAAATTAATATTATATCTAAAATATTCCATTTTAAAACTGTATTAATCATATTTAAAATATAAATGATATTGTTTAATGTAACTAATAATAAACTAATTATAATCCGCGCACGTTAAGATCATGACCATTTGTCCATTTAAAACTGGTTTTTCCCATATAATTTGGTCATAATCTTAACTTGCGCGAAGTATATATAGTTTATTTGTGAAAAAAGCTACGTTTTATTAATGTGAATTTGTATTTTTTTTTATTTAGAGACATAGACGTATGGTAACAGCTGTTGCGTGGAGTGAAGATAATTCATTTGCTAACCTATTTTCTTGTGGATTTGATCGATTAGCATTAGGATGGTCTGTTCAGTTATGTAAGGACTAATCCTTATTTATTTATCAAGTTAAAGTATGTCAAATATATAAATGGCTTGTCAACATTATTACTTCTTTTTCTGTTTCCTATTTTTTTTTGTGAGTGTGTAAGCCCTAACTTATATTGTGTAAAACTCAGAAAGTATTAAATTAAAATTTATATATATATATTATATTGTATTAACATTGTTACAATTTGTTTTTTCGTCCTTTTTTTAATTTTTTT